TTTTCCAGCAACTTTGTTTTTGTTAGTATAAGACTGGTTCATCTCTTCTTCTCATACAGCATAGAAACAGATCCTCAGTCCAACTCGTCTGTATTGACCAAGTTTAGCCAATGTTGCTGCCATTCAACTGGCATCTGCACCTGTCTGGTTCACAACTCCTTTAAAAATGATTTATGTAAGCACATTGTGATACTTCTGAACAATGGAGTGGGGATTTCTTTATGATAACAACAGGCTGATTTTTTTTTCCGGATGTTTTGTACAGTAAAGGGTTTATTACATATAATTTGATATCATTTACAGCAAAGAAATGGGCTATTTGGCCCATCTGTTCCATGTTAATATTTATGCTTTGCAGAAGCTGCCCCCTATTTAATCAGCAAATCTTCCCATTCCTATCTCTTTTGTCTGGATTCCACTTAAAAGTGTCAATGCCATTCCAAGCTCTCAAAAACACAGGATCAGTATGCACTTACCTCTTTCCCACTGATCTGATCAGCACCAAAGGGTGACACACTGGATCTGATTCCACCAGATCCCAGGGAAATGAGGAACAGGCCAATATAGGCACCCACCCTACAATCAGAAAGAGAGTCCAGTCAGTGATTACTGAGTAGATGTGATGTAGGAGCATTGATACACTGATACATTGATACACATTGATACAAAACTGATAGACAGCGTAGAAGGCCAGGGCCAATTTTAACTCACGGCTGGAATGAGGTGATACGGAGAGTTCAGCAGGAGCCCAAGGTGAATTTTAAAACTGGCCCTCATTTCTAATAAACAGCACTGTGCCCCATCAGGAAATGATGGAACATCATTGCGGCAAACACGACCAGCAACAAAGATCCTTGAGACTGTCCACTGAAATGAGCAGTGGGACAGCAGGAGTTTGAATGAAGGCTCCAACAATGAGAAGGAGAGGCAAAGAAGGCTCAGGAGCCCAAGGACACCTGCTCCTCCACACAGACTCCACAGAAAGGTAACATTGATATTCATGGAGGCCCTTCTGGCCCCTCTACTGTCTTTTGTCAACTCCTGCTATCCAGTTCAACCCAGGGTGCGATTTCTGCTATTTTAACTTAAAATGGAATTGCAATGCCAATAGCATCATCAAGTTCAAATCTTCCATATAAAGTAGGCACCTGTCTGCTTAGGAATGGCAACGCTGAGGGCACTTAAGATGGTGGAGGACAGGAACATTATCCAACACCTTCCCCCATTGTCCTTTCACCAGCTGAACACAGCCCCCGACCCCAACCAAAACTGCACCATCCCCAGCAGAATGGTAGTGTTAAGCTCAACCTTTGTGTATCACAATGCTGTGTGGCCTTGTATCCAAAATTCCAAAGATGGTGAACTGCCAGTCTTTGTTTTTGGACGAGGATACCAAGCATCAGTCACTTTTCCGAACGAAGGGACAGAGTCTCATAGCAGAGATCATTCGAGATGGCTGCAAAAACTACCCAAGATCCCAAAACTTCCCCTCAAATGTCCTTAACAATTTCAGTAGTGGCCATCTTGGAATTTCCATTGTCCATTAACCAAATCCTCCAAACTCTATTCAGAGACCCTTCATTCAGTACAGGATGTTGTATTATGTCCAATGGTCAGTAAGTCAAGTATGCCTTCAAGATATAGAGTATGTCAATATGTCTTTAAGAGCCAGGCTTATGATATCAGCAAAGCATCATAGCATGTGACCTGAGGCTATAAAGCTCTCAGATGGAAACTTAACTCTAATCACTTGAAGCATGACACATTACTAAAAATATGTTCTTCTGCTGTAATGAATAGCCTAATACTAGCCCAAACACTTGTGTCAGTGAATATAATATCTGCATATATTAGCCAGCCACAATAAACATCTGTTGAATCTTTCAATATCATCTTATGCACACTGGATTTTGTAAGTTAGGAGGGATAACAAAAGCATTGCCTCATTGGGTAAAGTTAGCCTGCTGGATGCAAAATCCAAATCATTGGATAGACCTGCAGGAGACTGGCAGGGGTCAAATTGTCAGTGCCTGCTCCACCAAAACATTTGGGTGAAAGATGATTAGATTATCTAAATAACGAAGTCAGTTGTATGGCCAAGAAGCGGGGTGGAGCAGAGTACATGACACTGGTCAGTCACTCTCAGTTTGTCAGCACCAACGGATGCCTACGAGCCCTGACTGACATTCCTTTACAAGGAGATTGAAAGTTTACCCCTATCATGGTTTTAATGAGTGATAGGACTCTAGATTAGAGATCAGTCACATTGTGTTTATTCCACATCCAAGATGTTTAGCATGACAGAGACTAGAAAAAATCTGGTGACACAACTCCACCTCCTTTTACTCCTCACACCCATTAAACACAACCCCCTTGCCAGCTTTTCCCCACCACCCCAAAACAGCCAACCTCCGCCCTCTACCCAACAAAGGCTCGAAGCCTGAAGGCAATTCCAAGATGTATCAATGTGATTCCCCTCTTTCAGCTCACATCAAGTGCAGATCCACAACATTGTGAGCATTTTGGGCTCCCTGTGCTAGTTCCTGGGTCTAAGGAGTATTCAGGTAGGGGGATGTTTTAATAGTTGCTTGGCTATTACAATGATCCTCTCCACTGAGAGGCTTCCATTTTCTTTATATTGACTGGGTGAAACACAGGGTGTCAAGCAAGCAGCATGTCACATCCAGTACTGAAATCAGGCCAGAGCTGCCACCAGCATGGTAATGAGCTGGAGTAAGGGGGAGGGATTGCAATTATGTGAGAATGGTGAAGCAGAAGGGCTTAGTTTTGTACACCCTAAGGCCCAAAATGTAATTCAACATTTACCTTTGGATAGTTGAATATGACCTGAATCTGCACTGCCCTGTACTCTTGCAAAGTCAGGATCTGTGACCCTATTTACATCTTCAAAGCCAGATTTTCAAATCAAAAGGGTCATATCACCCGAAACAGTGTGGTCAATATGGACAGCTGGCAGTATGCCCCTTTCAAAGTGGCATGCTCTGCATTGTTGGTTTTAAGGGGATGGTGAAGCTGCTGACCCCATCCTGAGGTCATTCATGCCTTGTGAACCCTGGATGTAGAGTGTGAGATTGAGACCAGGGAGGGTGTGAAAGGAAAGTAAATTGTGAAATGAAATGAAGTATCACTGCTGGTCACTCTGGCCCTGTTCCCTCTCCTGGGCACACTCAAGAAAAGTTCTTGTACTCACCCAGACTGTCTGATTTCTCTGGGTATTGCAGTCACTGACAAAACAATGGTACCAATAAGGTACACCACAGAAAGCATGAGGATACTCCTGTAATTCAAGATTGAGAAGACACGGTTGAATCACAGACACGGAATCACCTTGAAAACAGTACCAATTCAGCATTACTTAGGTGGCAAATAACCCATTTATCCTAACCAGACCCAGGTGGCTCTGTGATATAAATAGAACCATAGAATTTTATAGCAAACAAGGAGGTGATGGCATAGTAGTATTGTTACTAGACTTGCAATCTAGTGACTGAGGTAATATACTGGACCTTGGTGCAAATCCCACCATGGCAGATAGTGAAATTTGAATTTAAAGAAAACCTGGAATGACAGAAGTATAATTATTGCCATAAAGTTTAGAATATTACAGTACAGAATGAGATGGCTTTGTGAATGAGCTATCTTATTAGCCTGACTTCATTTGTTCTTTCCCTATAGCCCTAAAGGTTCTTAATTTCAATTACTAACCTAGTGTATATACAAATGCAAAGAAAATCTTCTATTCTCTCCCTTTTATAGCCAATTATTTTAAAACGGTGACCTATAGTTACCAACCTCTCTCCCATTGCCAACATATTTCCTTATTTAGTTGATCAAAATCTTCATAAATGTGACCATCCCGATTAGATCTCCTTTGAATCTTTCTTGCTTTAAGTGAACAATCGCAGTTTCTCTAAAGTAATCCAAGTATTTCAATTTTTTCTTTATAAGCACCTCCCCAGGATTACCTTGGTGAATATGCGTTGTCTATGTTCTCTACGGCTTTAAAGGAGACACCCAGAACAATACATAGGGGTCAGCATGAGGGGGTGGTTCCCAATGGCAGGGACTCAAGGCCAATAGTTGGTTTTGCACCTGACTGGTGATTTGCAATGCGAGTTCTGAAGAACTGTCACTGGACCTAAAGGTCGTTGACTCTTTTCTCTCCACAAATGCTGCCAGACCTACTGAGTTTCTCCAGCAATTTCATTTTCTTTTTGGTTTGTTTATGCCAGTTCACCTGCTGGCTTGCGAAGTTGGGAAGTGCCCCATGGCTGTAATCCTCATGGAGAATCAAAGAATCATACAGTATACAAGAGGCCCTTCAGCCCATTGAGTCTGCACTAACAGAACTACGCTGAAACTACATTAGTCCCATTTTCCTACACAAGTGCCATAACCTTGGATGTTATGGCATTTCAACTGCTTATCCAAGTACAATTTAAAGGTTGTGGAGTCTCCCACTTCAATTCTCCCTGGCAGTGCATTTCAGATTCCCACCATCCTCTGGGTGAAAAAGATTTTCCTCAAATCCCCTCTAAACCATCAGCCTTTCATTTTAAAATCATGCCCCCTCATTATTGACCCTTGAACTAAGGGGAAAAGCTGCTTTGTATCAACCCTGTCCATGTCCCTCTTATCTACCTCCATCAGGATCCTCCCGTCAGTCTTCTCTGTTCTTCAGAAAACAAGCTGAGCTTTTCCAGCCTCTCTTCACTGAAATAATTAAATTAAAATATTTCCATAACACCCCACCATATCCTGACCAAACAACGTGAAGCCCAACTAGTGTCATGTGCCACTCTCTACCTGACCTCATTTGTCTTGAGGACACCAGGATGAACTCACAAAGGAAAGTATTGATTTTGAGAGCTCACATGACCGGCCAGTTCAACCTTCCTTAGAAACCTACGATAGCCCATCATGATGCCTCACAAGTAATTCCAGACATTTGCCTCCACTAAGTCACTGCCAGAATCATACTGCAAATAACAGCATACACAGCAGATGCTATTCAGCCCCTTGAGATAGTTTCACCATTCAATTAGATTATCGTCAATCAGTATCTTAATTCCATTAGCTTTAATACTTTATTTACCAAAAATCTGTCAATCTTAGTTTGAAATTTACAATTGATTCCCCAGCTTTCACATATCTTTGGATCGATTCAAAGTTCAATTACGCTTTGTGTGAAGGAGATCTCTCTGTTGTCAACTTGAATGATCATTTTAAGTTTTTGTTTGCTCTCACAGGACAGAATAGTTTCTTTAGTCCACTGCATCAACTCTTATAATCATCTTCAAAACTCAAAGGGATCACCTCCGAATTGTCTATAAGAAATAATGAAAGAACCTCCATTCAGCCTTAGGTCTAGATGAAATAGCTCTTCCGTTCATACCTGTATCGCCCAAAACAGAAGTCTGAGAGGAAAGCTCCAACGATGGTGAAGGATGTGGAAAGGAAGATGAAGACATGATAGAGGGAGGTAGCCTTGCTCTCAGATAGGATGAGCGCTTTTGTAAAATACAGCACCAGGATAGCTGAAACAAAAGAAGGAGGTAGCAATGAGCATTCATTACTGACCTGGCTGTACAAAATTGCCTTGAACAGATCAACTGAGTACCTTGTGAATTCATTACTGGGCAGTTGTGACTCAATTGTTAGCACTCTTGCTTCAGAGTCAGTAATTGTGGGTTCAACATTCATGCCAGAGACTTGGCATTAATGAATAAGTTTCTGACACTGTCCCAGGGTGGTGTGTGACTTGGAGAGGAACTTACAGGTGATGATGTTCCCATATATCTGCTTCCCTTGTCCTTCTGAGTGGTAGTGGTTGTAGATTTGGAAGGTGCTCTTGGAGGACCCCTGGTGGTTTGCTGCAGAGCATCTTGTAGATGGTGCGTGCTGCTGCCACTAAACACCAGTGGCCAACAGCGTGAATATTTAAGGTGGTGAGTGGGGCGTTGATCGAGTGAGCAATTTTGTCTAAGATGGTGTCAAGCTTCTTGATGTTGTTGGAGCTGCACTCATCCAGGCAAGTGGACAGTATTCCATCACACCCATAACTTACACTGTGCAGAAAGGTGGACAGGCTTGGTTAGTCACTCATTTCAGAATTCCTAGCCTCTGGCATGCTCTTGTTCAGGTCTTCATAGAAATCATCCAAAATGTAACCTTCCTGTACTAGTTCAAGTGGGTGGATTTTTGTTGACTGGTGCAAACACTAAAGAATAGTGGCCTCATTAAGTATTGTAATAAAGAGATATATAATGCCTTAGCGTCTGTGTCAATCAACAAAGAGCTACCCAGATTAAACCACCTTCCTGAACTAGATCCATAGTCTGGAAGATTACTGCTCATGTAGTTATCTGAGCGCTTTTTTAAATTCAGTAAGAGTTTCTGCCTCTATTAACCTGAAAATTCCAGGTCTCTGTTAAATGAAAAAGTTTTTCCTCATCTTCTATCTACTTTAAATCTATGCTCCCTGATTTTTGGCTCCACCTCTAAGGCATAGCCTAATTACTCAATTCAAGTTCCTCATAATTTCATACACCTTAACAAAGTCAGCCACTCAGCCTCCTCCTTTCAAAGGAAATCAATTGTACTTCATCCATTTTTCCCAATAGTTAAAATGTTCTAGTCCTGAGAAGATTCTTGCAAATCCTCTCTGCAGTGTCTCCTGCAATTTTTCCTGTAATGTGTGACCAGAACAGTAAGCAGGACGCAAGCTGTGGTCTAGTTAGCATTATATGGTGATCCAGCATAATCTCCTTGATGTTCTACTTTATGCCTTGGCTCACCAAAGTGAGCCAAAGTGAGAAAGTGAGTGCTTCTTAGCTGACTTATTGGCTTTGATCTGTGACCTTTAAAAATCTGTGGACATACACTCAAAGATCACTTTGTTCCTCCTCATAGTTCCTATCTTCTCATTTATTGTGTATTACCAATCCTTGCTGAACATTGCATCATACATCAAAATACATTGCATCATACTACTCTGAATTAAATTATATTTTCCATTTTTCTCTCCACCTGACCAGACCATTTGTATCTTCCTGCAGTCTCCTCATTGCCAGCCTACATTCCCTCTAATTGTTCCTGCCGCTGTTGGACCCCTGAGGCTGTGTGCTGAAGAGGCGTCCACAACCAGAAGTCAATGTGCTTTCCCGCCAATCAAACACATGGTCACACTGAGCTGCCGTGCAGCCTCTAAGAGAGAACATTGATGTCAACTTTTGTATTATTTGTTAACTTCTTTCTCAGCTCCCTTCATCTGAAACTGTCATTAATATAAACTACAAAAACAGAGCCTGAGTATTGAGGCCACAGAGCCCCATTGGAAAATGTCCATCCACCATTCAGGCTGCAGAATGGCAGGACTTCAGAGCTTTGAACTGATCCATTGCTTGTGGGATTGCATACCTCTGTCTATGGCATGCAGCTTCCACTGTTTGGCACACAAGGAGTCCTCTGTTGTAGCTTCATCAGGTTTTTAGATATTTTTAGATATGCCTAGTGCTTTCCCTGGCATGGCCTCCTCTGCTTTTCATTGTACCAGGGCTGATTTCCCGGCTTGATGGTAGTGGCGTGATATGCCAGGTATGTTTTTACAGATTACGGTCAAATACAATCCTGCTACTAATAATGCCTCCACAGTATCTCTTGACCACCCAGTTTTGAGCTGGTAAATTTGTTCTGAGTCTATCCCACTTAACAAAGTGGTACTGCCACACAACAAATACTCAGTGCAAAGTTGGAACTTCAACTCCACAAGGATGGTGCAGTGGTCACTCTAAGTAATATTGTCATGTGATAAAAAGATTGGTAGGAATAGGGTTAAGTAGGTATTTCCTCAGTTCTGACGAAGGGTCTCTTGGCCTGAAACATTAACTCTGATTTCTTTACACAGAAGCTGCCAGACCTGCTGATCTTTTCCAGCAATTTCTGTTTTTATTTCTGATTTACAGCTTCCGCAGTTCCTGTTGATGATTCTCACAGAATATGTCACGGGCCCAATCTAGCTGGTATGTCCTTCAGTGTTTAGCCAGTTTTGTCAGTAATAGTGTTACCAAATCATTCTTAGTGAAGAACATTGAAGTCCCCCACCCAGAGTACCTTGGAGTGGAGGTCAATTTCTTGATGTGATGGCATGACCTTCATAGATTCCACAGTGAACACTGAGGGCTCCCACAGTCAATGCCTCCCACTGCACCACTTTCTCAACCCTGCTGTTGGTACAGAACCTACACAGGGATTGTGATTGAGAAGTCTGTAGTGAGATGTGCAGGGAATGAGCCACCAATCTCTGGGTATTTATTCAAAAAATTTCCTACCCCGGGTTAGTAAAAACCTCAAGCTGGCATAATTATGGGATAACCCGCTGACTCCAAGATATTTAGAGAAGGCCTCCAGGATCCCTGACCCATTTGATATGTGGGGAACAAGCTTTAATGCCAGATTAAGAAAATTTTCCTTTACCTCGAACCCCAAAGTAGCTGACTTTTTCAAAAAACTCTGTGATCACAACGAAGACAGCAGCATTAGACAGGTCGAAGAGTTTCTGAAAAAGAAAATGAACAATTAAATCAGCATCTGGACCTAACACTTGCTGTAGTTTAGATGAAGATTGTTCCTAAGTGGAACTCTTTAGTATGCACATTTGTTTCCCAATTTTCTCTCTTGTCCTGAGAACACCTAATTCTGACTGTTGTTAGCCGGTGTCCTTGCTACTGCATTAAAATCATCCCATGTCAGAAAAGGCCAATGGTTGGGAAACAATTTTAATCAACAGACATTTAAAAGAAACATCTGAAATAAAAGCCATTGAGAGCAACAAGATGAAAATGTAAGCTGTTTAATCGAATACTTTTTGCTGATAGAATTCGCACCTCTTATAAATATTAAATATATGATACCGAGAGAGTAGAAAAAAACTAAGAAATTAAAATAACCCCATTTCTGAATAATAACATTTTTTGACATTTTGAACAATAACGTTGCCAGTAAAATCATCTTCCAAGTAAACTTTAACTTAAGGTGCATACAGCCAAGGCAATTCTTTCGGCCACTGATTCATGTAATTTTAGTAACAAGCTTCTAATCTGATGCAGATAATTCAGGGAGTCTACATAGCGCCTTTACACACAAGTTACAACCTGGAACAATGTATAGTGATGATAGATTCTCCAATTCCCTTCCATCATGTGGCTAGCCTGAAATCTCCACCACTTACCAACTACCCATGGCATGTGTTGGAAGAATTTCTGGTTTCCTGGACCACCGTGGCCTGGAGTGAGCCTCGAACCCAGAACCTCTGGCCCAGAGGCAGAGACAATACCACCAGCAGCACAAGAACTAAAACTTCTATTAGCCCATTCAACTACAATAGGAACAACAATGGTCACAACTATAAAAACTGCTACTTCTTTCCAAAGGATTATCTGTAGCCGTGCGATGGTGTACTCATACACTCAAGCAGGTCGATTGCGAAGACAGTGGTGTAATGTAATGTTACATGAATGAGTAGACTGGAGCAATGTTTGGGAACAATGGGTTTGAATCCCACCAATGGCAGGTGGTGGAATTTGAACTCAATAAAAATTTTGCACATCAATCTAGTCTAATGGTAAACATGCACCTACTGCCAATTGTTGTAAAAACCGATCTGGTTCATTGATGTCCCTTTAGGGAAGGAAACTTGTTGTCCTTACTTGGACTGGCCTACTCCAGACCCAAAGCAATCTGATTGGTTCTTAACTGCCCTCTGGGTAATTTGTAATGGGCAATAAATGCTGACCTAGCTAGCGACACCCATGCCCAACGAACAAGTTAAAAAAATTTCAAATGTGATGAGATAGTAGGAACTGCTGATGCTCGAGAATCTGAAATAACAAGGTGTAGAGCTGGATGAACACAGCAGGCCAAGCAGCATCAGAGGAGCAGGAAAGCTGACGTTTCGGGTCTAGACCCTTCTTCTGTTAAAATAATCATTTAAGATCCTAAAAATGATCAGTCTTCTATCTCCACAGTCAAAACATAACACTTACTTTTCTTGATTTAATATTTTTTAAGTATTTTCCATGATTATGTAACCCAACTAAAAAATGGTTGGGAGTCATAGCCAAGAACTACGCCAAGAGGAAGAAGAATACCTCTTCCAGGTTTTCAAGGATAATAGATATCCAAAAAACTGGGTCAGAAGATGCCTACATGAACAACATCAGGAAGATACTACACACCCCAACACACTCATCACACCACCCTACATCAGGAACACATCAGAACTAACCACAAGACTCCTACGACCGCTGGGCATCAGAGTGGCACACAAGCCCACATCAACCCTACAACAACTGCTCACCCGAACTAAAGACCTACTCCCCGCCACGGACAGGACCAATGTCATCTACAAGATCCCCTGCAGAGACTGCGAGAAACACTACATTGGACAAACAGGAAGGAAACTAACAACAAGGGTACATGAACACCAACTGGCTACAAAAAGACACGACCAATTCTCACTCATCTCAATCCACATGGACACGGAGAACCACCAATTCAACTGGGACAACACCAAAATCCTGGGACAAGCTAAGCAGAGACAGGCATGGGAATTCCTAGAAGCATGGCACTCCATGAAGAAAGCCATTAATAAACACATAGAACTCGACCCCATATACACTCCACTACGAAGGAAAACCAGAAGCGAGACAATCCAGCTCAATGGACTCCAGAGTTTAAAAACCAGGCAGGAAAACACACTGACGCTTCATTGGAGGCTGCACTGATGATGTTCCCCAGCATAGTAACAAAACATCTGCGGAACAACAAACCAGCTTGGCGAACCAACAACCAACCTCAACAGTCATAGCCAAGGTGCTAAAGAACCATGTCCAGCTTTGGCATCACAGGTTGCAGAACACTGACCTGGACACTGAATCTGTTTGAAAGTGTTCAGTGAGATGGACCTAATCTACTAGAAGAGTCATGTTCTACGGGGAGGGGCTACATTTTAAAGAGCAAACAATTACAGATTGCTAAAGTGAAGTCTCTCTTTTATTGGATAACCCTGCTAACAATGAATTTCCCTGATACAGTGATTCACCCACATTTCACTACGAACCCGTTTACATTAGTGCACTTTAGCCTCTTGTATTAAACTTATGCAGCAAGAAACCAGCCCACCAGCAGCCCACCAGCAGCTAACCAGCAGTTCACTAACTGCTTACCCCACACACAACAAGAAATCCAGACTCACCAGTAGTCTGCCCCAGGCTCGTCCACTCACTTTGGGTGACTCTGGCTTTGAATCTGAAACAAGAGACACAAGGCACAAGTGGATTTCAAAATAACAAGAGATTATGATGTGTGTGCAGCTTCCTTAATGGCCTAGAGATTTGCTAGTGAGTAAATAAATGACATTACAAAATGATCAATGATTGGAAAAAGGAACATTACATGTTAGGACGCTGCCAGATTTGGAAATTTAAAGTTTTTAATTCTGCCATTCCCAAAACATCCTCTCTAAATTTCAGTTAGGAATTAAGGTATGTAACAACAAAATTAAAATTAGGAATATGAAGTATTTCACCCAAAGGTTATTCAAACTGTGGAACAAAGGAACAGGAGTAGGCCATTCAACTCCCCTAAGTCTGTTCTGTTATTCAATGAGATCATAGCTGACCTTCAGCCTAAGCCCATATACTCTTCCACTGTACATATTACCTTTGATTAACAAAAATCTGAGATTTCCCATTAGCAATTATCCAGCATTAATGTGCCATTTCAGAAGAGAGTTCCAAACTTCTTCCACCTTTTAAAGACTGAAAGAACTGCAGATGCTGTAAATCAGAAACAAGAACAAAAGCAGGGTCCCCAAGCAGAAAGTTGGGGAAACAAAGCATAGATTAGGTAACCACTTTGCGGAACACCTACGTTCTGCTCGCAAAAAAGACCCCGAGTTTCCAGTTGCCTGCCACTTCAACACATGACCCTGTTCCCTGGCCAACATCTCTGTCTCAGGCTTGCTGCAGTACTCCAGCGAAGATCAGCATAAGCTGGAAGAACAGCATCTCATTTTCCACTTGGGGACCCTACAGCCTTCTAGACTCAATATTGAGTTTAGGGCTTGAACTCTGATGTGTCCCAGCCCCCACCCCCACACACTTGGCCTTGTGATAACATAGTCTGCTATTACACGCAACCGAGAGTTAGCCACTAACAGTCCCCATTAACAGCTATTCACCCTAGCCAGATCATTATCCACTCCTTTGCCTGTCCTACTGTTTCTCTCTCTTTGGGCTCTATCCCCACCTATCATTTACTCCTTAACCTCTCCCACCACCCTGTCTTCTGCATAAAAACCAACGCTTTCCTAGCTACCATCAGCTCTGAGGAAGGGTCACTGGACCTGAAATATTAACTCTGATTTCTCTTCACAAATGCTGCCAGACCTGCTGAGCTTTTCCAGAAATTTCTGTCTTTGTTTCCTCCACCTTTTCCCAGTAGAACTGTTCTCCTTAATACCTTGTTCACTTCAATAACACAACCCTTTAAGTTTCTAATTTGCAGGAATACAACGCCAGTCTTCAGCAGTATGTGGGAATGTGGGGTCATCAAATCAGCTATGACCTTAATGAATGGCAGTGTAAGCTTAAGTTAAGTGGCCTACACCAGCACCTAACTCATATGTTCACATGTTGTGTAACGTCACTTCAGAATTAAACCCTTGTGTCCGGATTGTTTTTGGATAAATCCATACTATACTCTCTCATAGGCCAACAGATCCTTCCTAAGCTATGTTGCCTAGAAATGCACAGAGTACTCCTATGTACCTACAGAGTCTTGGGTCTAGCCAGAGTTTTGGACAGCTGAATATAGGAATTGCTAAATGACAGGTGGCCAAGATCCATTAGGTTCATTTTGTTCCATGCTGATAATTATTGACTAATTCCAGTAATCAGTCCCTAACAATGAGCCCACAACAGAGCCAGACATGAGGGCAGCATAAGCCCCAGTGCTGGAGGGGTTTGTAATGTTCAAAAACACCTGTATCTCTCAAGTATTTCACATTTATCATATGTCACATTTTAAATTACTCGGATATCCCAACACGGTCCTCCTAAAAGATATCTTTGTACTCTGCAGTTGAACAAATTAATGCTAATTGCTGCCTCCATCTCCTTGGGCAACCCACCCCACTTACTCAATGAAATATTATATTCACAGGTTAATTATGAACTCCCCTTCATCCCTTCAAGTGCAGGCCATTTGCTTTGTTTCCACTGTTCCAGACAAGGTGAAATGGCTTTTCATGGTCCACAATATGCAGGATTTCAGAATCCTAGAAACAGTTGCTGTACCATCTCTCAGCCTTGCCCTTTCCAGTGAGAAAGAGTTTAATTTACATAATTGCTCCTCATAATCCAAACTCTGTAACCCCTCAATCATTCCTGTTTCTTTCTTCAGTATCATCTCTATAACTGACTACTTATGGCTGTGGAGTTCTGCTTGAAATCTATCTCAATATGTAGACAGAAGCTCAGTTGGTGTCCTATTCAAAATGTAGTTGTCCTGATGGTGCGGCAATCCCTCCATACCGAATTGGTGTGTAAACTCAAATGTTATATTCAAGTCTATCAAGGACGACTTGAGCCCAGAAGCTTTAAATAATTTTATTGCATTCGCTCAGTAAACCAAGACTGATGGCGCCACAAAAACTGCCTTGCCAAGTGTTAAAATGATTCATACAGTCTTCCAAAACTCCCTTGATTCTAGAATGGTACTGGTGGAGTCTACTATTAAGCAAGCCTTGGTTACGCACTTGGAAAATCAGTGTATTATTAGACAGAGTCAAAATGATTTTACAGAAGGAAAATTGTGCTTTATGATTTTCTACGTGCATAATTGAGGTTTGCTTAATAGTAGACTCCACCGGGACCACTCTAGAATCTAGGGAGTTTTGGAAGTCTGTATAAATCATTATATCACCATGTCAAGACACAGCGTTGTGGCATCATCAGTCTCAGTTCACAGTCTGAATGCAACAAAATTGTCTGTCTCTAGATATTTGAATACAAAATCTAAACTGACACAGTGTAGTGCTGAGAGGAATGCTACATTGTCAGGAGAGCCATATTTCAGAAAGGTCATTAAAATGAGGTCAGCCTACCTGTTCGGATGGATTTCAAACAGAACATGACAGAGCTACAATACTAGTATTTGCATAGCCCCAGAGAATTGCTCCCTCACGAAAGAGACATAACAGGTGGTGAGTTTAACCTGAATTAGCTGGCCAGTTGATTTGCAAAGCAAACTGATGACAAGAGCATGGGTTCAATTCCCACACTAACTGAGGTTACCATGAAGGTGACCTGCCTTCTCAGCAGTTACAAGTAGTCAACTATTGAAAGGATACAGAAGAAGCCAGGACCTTAGAGTTCTAAAAGAGGTAGCTGCAGGGTCTATTCATCAAAACAGTGCTCAATAGCATATCTTTCCAACATGATATCCATGACCTGAATTGGATGTGTAACTCTGGAGCAAGTTGCATCCAAACATAGGCACTCATTTAAGATAACAAGGTGTAGAGCTGGATGAACTCAGCAGGCCAAGCAGCATCAGAGGAGCAGGAAAGCTGACATTTCGGGTCTGGACCCTTCTTCATAGGCACTCATTTATCTTTTTTTTAAAGGAGATATCATTCACCAAGGTTTCACTGTAACCCCAACTGCAGATAAGTTGAACAGCCCAGGTCTTTTCCTTAGGGTGAGAGAGTTCAAAACTAAGGGGCAAGTTTTTGAGGTGGGAAGAGAAAGATTTAAAAAGAACATGAGGGGCAACTATTTTTACACAGTGTGTGGAATGAACTGCCAGAAGAAGTGGTAGAGAGCAATTTCAAAATGTGCAATTATTGAACTGTTCTGGCTTTTGTACAGCCAGAATTTTGCCATCAGATTAGCATGCAGAACTGATGAACCAAATAAGAAGTAGAAATAAATGGCATTTTCAAGTTGGCAGGATGTAATTAGTCGAGTGTCATGACCAAACCAGGGGCCTCAGCTATTTACAATCTCACCAATTAGTTTCCGTTTCTGAAGAAGGGTCCCGACCTGAAACATCAACTTTCCTGCTCCTTTGATGCTGCCTGGCCTGCTGTGCACCTCCAGCTCCACACTGTGTTATCTCTGACTCCAACATCGACAGTTCTTACTATCTCAAATAGTTAGGTGGTTATTTTGATGAATGTGGACATGATGGGCTGAAGGGTCTTTTTCTGTGCTGTAGATCTCAATGACTCTACATTAGAGGTTAGATTACACACCCAGAACAATGTTTTTAAATTTGCTGATGATACAAAGCTGGGTGAGCCATGAAGGAGAACGCAAAAAGACTGCCAAGAGATATAGACAGGTTAAGTGATTGGGCAATGAGGTAGCACATGGAAACAATATAGGCAAATATGAGGTTATCCACTTTGCTGGTAGGAAAGGGTCTGTTTCCATGTTGTATGACTCTATGACTCGATGAGGGGGTCGCCCTATGATGAGGGCTGAGTGAATTGGGCCTGAATTCTGTGGAGATTAGAAGAATGAGAGGTCATCTCATTGAAGCATATGAAATTCTGAAGGGAGTTGACAGGGGAGCCACTGAGAGGTTATTTACCTCAGCCAGGAGGAGCAGGGCTAATGCAGTAGGGCACAGTCTCAATAATTTAGGGGTAAGATAAGGAAAATATTCCTTATTGAATTGTGAAAACTGTGTTGTTGAGTATGTTTAAAGCTGTGATAGATTTACTGAGAGGCCAAGCATCTGTTTAAGGACATGTCAGGTGGTTGAGAATGTAAAGGTGGAAGATCAGCCTTGATGGTATTGCCTGCTCCTATTCCTGATGTTCCTTGAGAACAAAGCTGTACTTCAGCTGTGACCTCAACAAGGCTTGTACAATTGTAGTAAACTTCCTGACTCATTTACTGCAATTCTTTTTTAATAAAGGCTGCTGTGGTATACCTGACCTGTTCTCCCACAGCAGGAGCAAGCTACACACAGAACATTATGTCATCATTTTTACCCTACATCGCATGAGAGGTAGCAAAGCATTGGCCAGATTGGCAGTGAGTGTATGAGGAAAATCCGCCCTGAGTCGAACTGCCTCAGTGAGGCTGTAACTCAGTAACTCACTAACAGAATGCAGTCCATTTGTAATGTTACTCTACTCCCCTCCCGCATTCATCCCACATACAGTGTCCTTGCCACGCTCAATCTTACTGCTTCAGTACAGCTGGACTATTTAACAGTGGGGCCTCATACCC